TCTACCAATTCATCACATTGCATATAGGTAGATAAAATCATGTCTGAGATAGTGGCTAAACTATTTAGATAGAAAATGTGATTGTCTAAAGTTGTGTCAAAGGCAAATGTAATTGAAGAAGTATACAAAAAATGAAGAGATAGGCTCCTTTAGAATTATAGGAGGCCAAGTCCATTTATGAAGGGGCACGTTTGATTTTGTATCAAAATGTTGAAATCCAACTAAGCCCATTTTAAGCTTAGCCAGATTGAGATCACAAAACCTTATAGTAAGATCTTCTCATTCTCAATTATTTGCCATAACATTCAGGTAAGTTTAATATTTGAAAGAAATTAGATTAATTCATTTACTGTGCCTAAAGTTGATATGCCACAAAAGAATGCTACAAGTTCCAAATACATTCTACCGTTGCTCAAAAAAAGAAAACAAAAACAAAAATTGTTTAGTACAATTTGATCAGTAAAGAGTAAATAAAGTTAGAACTTAAAAAAAAAAAGTGTGGAAAGGGCTTAAGAGGACCTCACTTTTAAATTAACAACTAGAAGTTAAGCTATTTTTTGCTAATAACAATAGAAGAAACTTTTGAAATTTTACTTTTTGAGGTTTTTGGATATTCCAAACATGAGGAAAAAAATTGGTGGTATCAGTTCCAAGGTGCTGTGATTTGGATAAATGATCAGAAAAGCATAAATTGCATGTGTGTGGTTTTATGATTTTTAGAATTAGAGATATGCTTATATAAGTGCACTGATTTAAAATTCAATATTTTTCAAAGTTGATATAAAATCCATATAGATTCTAAAAGGGAAATAAACTCGGTTCTATGTTGATTTCATTTAAAAATGGTTTAATATACATGAAAATATAGGCCATAAATTTTTTGGCTTAGTTGATCTAGGATGCAAAATCTACTGCAATTGAAATCTGCAGGGATGGATTTCATAGATTTTAGTTTATAATACTGAATCAGAATTTCTTTCAAATAATTTACTTAGAGAGTTGACAACGTT